CCCCCCCCCCCCCTCCCTTTTTCAGTCCCGAAGTCGAAAACGAGTGGCATTCAATTGGCCACACTGTTCTCTGCCATGACGTCGACGTCGAGCGAGTGGCCCCGTGCTGGGATAAAGTCGAGACGTGCAGGAGCAGATCCAGAAAAATTTTCATAAGGAGAGACAAAAGTTTTAGCATTATAATCAAGGTTATTAGGTTCCATTTTGTGGAGGGCCAATAATTAGATATCTGAGGTCTTTGTGGGCTCAAAAGATGACATTGGAGGGTTGGCCACAATTTATTGCTCCATCTGACCTAAGAGACAGGAAATTGGAGACCCCCACAAATCCTAATTTCTTCAACTGTTTAAGTTACAGTTTGATGATGGGCTACTTCGATATGTACATAGGTTTTTTTGATAATTGAATAATCGAATCGTTTGCCTTCCCATTTTGATACGACCACGAGTTTCAAGGTTTTAAAGTTTCAACCTTTATGACATTATAATCCAACCATTGTGCTAAGATCTCACTAGCCACATTGGGTTTCGATCGGTCTCGAGACCCAATTCGTTCTACTGACATTTTCTCGACTAATAAAAATAACCCACATTCTCTGACGTCAGTTCGATCCTTAAATAATCAAATCATTTGCCTCCCTATTTTGATATAACGAGTTTCAAGTTTCAACCTTTATGACATTATAATCCGACCATTGTGCTAAGATCTCACTAGCTATGATGGGTTTCGGTTGGTCTTGAGACCCGAGTCGTTCTACTAATATTTTCTTGACTAATAAAAATAACCCACGTTCCCTAACATTAATTCGATCTTTAAATAACTGAACCATTTGCCTCCTCATTTTGATACAACGAGTCTCCAGTTTCAATCTTTATGACATTATAATCCGACCATTGTGCTAAGATCTCACTAGTCACGGTGGGTTTCGGATGGTCTCGAGAACTGAGTCGTTCAACCAACATTTTGTTAAAGAAATTGGATGATTTACATCTTCTCAAGTAAAACCCTTTTACAATTCTGTCTTGTTTGAAATCCAAATTCTTCCAAAATCTCTTTCTTCCTCATTTTTCAACAAAAAGATTCCAACTTTTTCTCTCTCTATGCTTAATTGTTTATGTAATTAAATTGAACAAAATAAACAAAAAAATTGGTTTCTCAAAGGAACAAAAATAAATAAATAAAACCCATCAAATAAAATTGCATTTTAATTACTCCATGTTCTTGAATTTGATTTTTGAGCTAATATTTAGCGTTGAATTTCCAATTTTGGTTGGTTTCAATTCCAAGAAAGGTCAGAAAGATATGGATAAGAGAGGAAAAAAAAAAAAAAAAAAACCAAATTTACAGAGCGAAAATTAAAGAAATTGTTATTAATCCGTTTCCAGCGGTCGGATTTGTCTCATATTTCTTGTTCCTTTGGGAAATTTGTCAATTAATTAAATTATTACAGATGAAGATCCAAACTCACTTGGTCCGCCGCCGTTTTTGCCTCGTATACAAACCGGGTCTGATGAGACCCGCCGGACCCACCGCCACCCACGGCAGTGCTGCCGCCCTTCATCATCTCATCTCCTGAAAACAGTGGCAACGGGTGCATGGACGTCCGTTCCCGGCTACCAAACGCCGGTACATTATTTTGTACGGCTGAGATTCTCCACATCGCTAACGGACTCCCGTTTATAGGCGCCGTGGTGGCTGCCGGAGAATACTGCCCACCAGGGCTGCCATAAAATCTGGTGGCGGAAGCGGTGGCGGCGGTGGGTGAATTTCTATTCCAAGAAGGGTAATTATTAACCTGCAGGCCGGAGGGAGCGGCGCCGGCTAGTCGCTGGTAGTTCATGAGCCCATACACATGGGCAGCGTCGGAGAAGGCTCCAATTCCATGAACCATAGCGGCTGCATTAGACTGAAGGTGAGCCCTTTTTGCATGTTGGCGCTCTCTTTTGTGGGCGTTTTGGTGCCCTCCTAAGGCTTGTGAAGTAGGGAAATTCCTACAACAATAATGGCATTCAAATCTCCGGCTACTTTCTCCTCCGCTGTTGTTGTTGTCGTTGTTGTTTTCTTTAGCATCTTCGCATGCAATAACCGTGTCATCTGACTCCGATTCCTCAATAGAAGACGCAGACGCCGCTACAACATTTTGGCTTCCAAATTCTATCCCAAAAAGTCTAATGCCCTTTTCTTTTGGCGCAGGCCGGATAAAGGGTAGTTGAGAGAAAGACTCAACGTTCATGAAATCATGAGTTTCTCGTTCAGGGTTACTCTTGTCCATGAAAATACGGTGGTTTTTGGATGATTCTTGAATTTGGGTCGTTGCCTGCGAGAGCGTTAAAACAACAAAGGAGAAGGAAGGTGAAAGAAAAGTAAGTCGAATTGAGTCGAGTCGAGACCAAACCGAGTTTTGTAATGTGGAAGGGAAAGGAGAGAATGTGTGGGGTCTATAAAGGGTGTGGGGATGGAAGTATTGGGGGCTGACCCATCTGAGAGTGAACCCTGACAAGGCCACAAGTTATGATCAGAGAGGCTTTGGCTTCTCAAAGTACCATCTTGGCTTCCTTAGTTTTTTGTTTGATGTGGAAACTTTGTTTTTTTTTTTTTACTTCTCTCCTCTTAACTCTCTCCTTCCATTACAAAAAAGTTTACTTGAACTGTCATTTTTTAGGGTTAACTTTTTATACTTTTAGGGTTTCTGACTCACAAGCTAGGTTTTTTTTTAACCCATCCCCAACTTAAAGTTTGATTTTTTACCTTTGTTTATCTCGGGTTTAACTATATTATCGAAGTTCCAATTCACATGGCAGTAAAAATTCAAACTTTACCTGTAATAGAGATTATTCGTGTGGTGAATCAGCTGGAATTTTGTTTAGATTAATAATCGTAGGGAAATTAAATATATATAATCAAAATGAAAATGAATAATGAAATTATGTACTTTTTTACCCAAAAGAGAGGTGGGTATCAATGCTTTAAATCTAACAAATTTATTGCCATAAAAGGGCGAAATTTATTATGTTACTTTCTTTAGTTAAATAATAAATTTTATGTTGAAGCTTATGAACCAAAAAAGAAGGAGATTTAGTATATCTATGGTTTCTTTTTTGGAAGAAATATATCATATTATATAAAAAAAAATACTCTTAATAATTATCATAAAAACTATATTGGGTGACGTTGTAGGAAATTTTTTAAAGAATGTCGAAATTATCAAGTAATACCAAATTCGAGTTCAAAATCGTGAACGTGTGGTGTTACGAAACCTAGATATGATAGTGAAGAACAACTGCTTGATATAAAAGGACAATGCTTGTCTGGTTAACCAATGTGTCGGATTAAGAAAGATTACCTTAATTTCATAGTGACATTGGTAAAACATCTATTTATTATCTCAAAAAAAAAAAAAAAAAAAAAAAAAACAACTTGCCTAAATTTGAATTTCTATCTTGTTGGAACTAAAAAAGAACAAATTAATGATAATTTATATATAAAAGGGTGGGAAGGCGAGAATTAGGGTGAGCTTAAGGTCAAAGATGGGGAATACGATTCTCGTTCCTGTCCTCACTCCCTACCTTATTTTCCGCACGTTAAATGAACATCTCTAGTCACCATAACAAACAATTAGTATCCATATTATTCTTCTTAGTCCAATCCTAACAGAGGTAGAGATCAAACCATCGATTTTTGAAACGATAATCAACGTCTTACAAGTGAGCTACATTTATAATTAGTTTGAGCCATGTTTACGTTGACACAAAGCCATTATCAAACGAAACCCGACGACAACGACATGAACATGTAGATGTTCGTGTATACATACACATCAAGGTGTGTATGTATACGACATGCATGTAGCGGTCGACCATCATTAAGAAGCCACGTTTAATATGAAACGTCGTTTATAAAGATATATGAGAGAAATGACATTACTTTAGCTCATGGGTAATTCTAAATTTCACTTTCTTTGTGTCTCTAGAACTGTCTTTGTGTATCAAAATAGTCCAAATTTCTCTCTCAAGGACCATCTTACTGGTAGTTGGTGTTGCCTCTTAATAGCTTTGTTGGGTGTTTTATATCAGCTTCCACAGATCTGAAAAAAGTGGTCCTCTTCCAAAACCAAGAACACACAAATATATATAATATAAACCCTACACGAATGGCCAAAAAAACCCACCTCCCTATCTTTATATTAAATGAATGGTTTAATGTGACGTCGCGAATAATCTTTCGATGCAGGATTTTTGACGTTTATCTATCTCTAATAACGGTTCGATATTGATTCGAAAAATGGTTCTTAAATTTTTCTTTCTCTCGTACGATATTGGTTAAAAAAAAAAACATACTTTACGTACAATGTGATGAATCGATGAGGAATCGAACGTAGCTAATTGTTACGAATCTTAAACGAGACGGAGACGGGGTATGTTATTTTAACCCTCAAGTAATTTTTCTTCTATCTCATGAGTCTCTATCTCTCTTTCTCTTCTGTGTGTGTGGTTAACAAAGTACAAGTGATGCCATGTCTCTTTCATCCTTTACTTTGTTTGAGACATTATAATTACCCTTCAAGCTCCCTTTGCTTTCCTTCTCCTACCTTCCCATTTATCCCATTTTACTCTCGACTTTTTCTTGTCTTCTCAAATTTACCATTTACAGTTTAAAAATTAACCGGATCTAAAAATTTGAACCGAGTACATATATCTGAATCAATTGAGCTGTGTTCAAATTGACATACAACTATTTATCTTTTACAAGTCATAACACGTCAGTAACATCGGTTACAAACATCAAATATTCTTAATTTTCATAATAATCTTAAAAGTAAGATATAATAGAGTAAGGTCGTAACTCTCTTTTCGGGTTGATCCAACAAAAAAAAAATGTCAACTTGCGAACCGACCCTAATTTTCGATCTTCCTAAAAACCAACCTAACGGAAACTGAACAAAATCTAACCCCAACCCAATTCTTATGATTTGAGTTGGGTAGTCTGGTTTGATCGAGTTCTCGAGTCATATGAACACTTCTATCAAAAATCAATAAAAACCCGTCATCTTAAACTTAATAAAAAAGAGAAACCCAAAAGTGAAAAAGGGTTGATATATAGTTTGGGGAGAACAAAAAGCTTAGAATTGAAAGGAACACATAATAAGCATCATTATAAAAGTTAGGATTTGGAAGAAGAAATTGGTTTGTTTACATTTGTAGCACTGAAATGGGTTGTTAACCAAATAAAGGTACAATTGTGGAGAGGGACCAAACATGAAAATGGAAAAGAGAAAAAGGGGTAATTAGCAATTGTAAGAAGTTTGAAGGTGAAGAAGTATTTGTCAGAAATGGGGAGTTTAAAGATATTTTTGGGAGTATCTCTGCAAAACCAGACTGGGTGGAGGCTCGTTTTGCAATTATTCTTCCTCCCAACTGCCTCTTCATAATTCTAACTTTCTTTGGAACCCCAAGACATTTCATTTTCTGCTGTCTTAGCAACATGTGTATGTGTATGTGTTTGTGTTTGTGTTTGTGTTTGTGTTTGTGGACCATATCCATACATTATTATTACACTCTTCGTCATGTCCCTTTTATTAACCCCTTCTTTTCGATGCGACATTCTCTTATTCTTTGTCTCTCTCTCTTGTTCTTGTTTCACCTTTCACATTCTTCTTAAACCCATGTTTTAGCAACCCTAATTGTTAACTAATCTTACATTTATGTATATATTAAGCGTTTAATCTATCAAATTTCAAGTTTAGGGTTTTATAACGTTCGCGAGCTATCATGTTTCTATTTGTTTTGTTCCCAATTCCACTTTTCTTGGCAGTGGACTTTTACGATCGTGCAGTATTCACTCCTAATATTGAGTCAAGCCAATTTGGGATTGCGTAAATCTCTAACTCTATTATGAGAAGATAGGTTTAGAAAACGGGACAAAGAGATTATTTGTCCACTTTTGATTGGATTTTACTATATTAAATGTACTTAATTACTCCTTTCTTTAAATGTATATTTTGTTGATTAATTATAAGTTAGAAGGTTGAAGAACAAGATCGAAAGTTTAAAGACTAATTAACTCATTGAAACAACGTAAAAATTGATTTTTTTTTAGAAAAATATAGGCTAAATAGAGTCCAAAGTAGGGGTGTTCGTGAATTAGGTTGGGTCGGGTTGGAAGATTGTTGTTAAGACCGAACCCAATTGTTCAGGTTGTAATTTTTTTTTATTCACACGACTTTTGTTGAATAATAAACCTAACTCAACTCAACTATAAATTTTTATGGTGGATTAGCTCCGATTATTTATACAATTTTTTTTTTAATAAAAGTAAAATGTTATTTCGATAATCAAAAAAATAATAATGACGAACCAACGAACCAACCCAACCCAACCCACATATTCCTGTTGATAAATTGGTTCGGATTTTAAACCCACGAACCAACCCAACCCATACAATTTTCACTTATTCGAATCCAATCCAAACTCACTCAAATAAGTTCATAATCCAACCATGGTTGAGTTAATCTAGTTTTTTGAATGCCCGTAGATTATAAATTATTATAAACAAAATCAAAAATTAATATGTCGACTTAGAAAGGTATTTAGACATGTAATCATAACAAAATTGAAGGTTTGTTTAAAATTTAAATTTGGAATAAAGGGAAATGTTAAAGAAAATCTATTTGTTGTTACTTAAAAGGGAAATTAATAATGTCATGAGACATTTAAAACAAAAAAACATGTCACGTGTGTACTACAAACCTCATTAAATTCTCCAAAAAAAAGAAAAAAAGGTTTGAAGGGTTAAGGCAATGGAGACAGGAGAATGGAAGGGTTTTTCATGGTCCTCTTCCCACATTTGTAGCCTTCAATGTCCTTTGACCACCCTACTACATTGCTATATATATATAGGTGATATTATTGAATTCTAATATTTTTGTCGATTGAGCTAAGTTCAAGTTGATATCCAAGTAATTGCCAATAAACATAATTTTAAACACATTTGAAAATTCAAAAGTTACTAGATTCCAGCAAAATGTGAAGACTCATAAAATTGTTCATATTATACAGAAGACATAAAAGTATGTAAAACAAAAAAGCATGGACATACGATACTCGAACCTAGTACGTGCCTCTGACTTATCTCTGTTTCATAGCCTCGTTACTTTGAAGTGTTCTCACCACGTGTCATGTAGACTTAGATACTATTTGAAAACAAAAAAGGTGTGTGGCCCCATTTGTAGGGTCGAAATACTTAAAAATAATAAATTCGTGAGCTTTTGTTACTTAGCAACCACAACCCTGAACATGATGACTTGATTGGTCTAGGTGTGCAACTAGCTAGTTATCTGCCCACTAAGTTATATATATGTGGGACATAAGTAACTTAAACATGAGACACGTAATTGTGACGTAATTGTAGAGGATTGTTGGGAGGGAGTCTTGCATTGGTTAATTAAGGGGATGATCATGGGTTTATAAGATGAGATCTTTTGGAGAAACCAAA